CTGTCCTTTGGAGTGACTGGTGTGTTGAAGTTTCCTAGAATGAATGCATTGCATTCTATTTCCTCCTTTAATTCTGTTAGTATTTGTTTCACATATGTGGGTGCATATATATTTATAATGGTTATATCCTCTTGTTGGACTGACCCTTTTATCATCATGTAATGTCCTTCTTTATCTCTTGTACTTTCTTTGTTTTGAATTCTATTTTGCCTGATACAAGTACTGCAACACCTGCCTTTTTCTCCCTATTAGTTGCATGAAATATCTTTTTCCATCCCTTGACTTTTAGTCTGTGTATGTCTTTGGGTTTGAGGTGAGTCTCTTGTAAGCAGCATATAGATGTGTCTTGTTTTTTTATCCATGCTATTACTCTGTGTCTTTTGATTGGTGCATTCAGGCCATTTACATTGAGGGTGGTTATTGAAAGATATGTACTTATTGCCATTGCAGGCTTTAGATTTGTGGTTACCAAAGGTTCAAGGGTAGCTTCTTTACTATCTAATCGTCTAACTTAACTCACTTATTAAGCTATTATAAACACAGTCTGATGATTCTTTATTTCTCTCCCTTCTTATTCCTCCTCCTCCATTCTTTATATGTCAGTTGTTTTAATCTGTACTCTTTTGTGTTTCCTTTGGCTGCTTTTGTGCACAGTTGATTTTCTTTTTTGCCTTTAGTTAGTATTTGATTTGTCTGCTTTCTTTGGTGTGATTTTGTTTTCTCTGTTGACATCTATTTAGCCTTAAGGATTCTTGCATCTAGAGCAGTCCCTTTAAAATATCCTGTAGAGGGTGTTTTCTAGGAGGCAAATTCCCTCAACTTTTGTTTTTCTAGGAATTGTTTAATCCCTCCTCCATATTTAAATGATAATTGTGCTGGATACAGTATTCTTGGTTCAAGGCCCTTCTGTTTCATTACATTAAATATATCATGCCTTTCTCTTCTAGCCTGTGAGGTTTCTGTTGAGAACTCTGATGATAGCCTGATGGGTTTTCCTTTTTAGGTGACCTTTTTTCTCTCTCTGGCTGCCTTTAATACTCTGTCTTGTCTTTCATCTTTGCCATTTTAATTGTTATATGTCTTGGTGTTGTCCTCCTTGTGTCCCTTGTGTTGGGATATCTTTGGGCTTCCTTGTTCTGAGCGACTATTTCCTCCCCCAGCTTGGGGAAGTTTTCAGCAATTGTTTCTTCAAAGACACTTTGTATCCCTTTTTCTCTCTCTTCTTCTTCTGGTACCCCTATAATGCGAATATTTTTGCATTTGGATTGGTCACACAGTTCTCTTTATATTCTTTCATTCCTGGACATCCTTTTCTTTCTCTCTGCCTCAGCTTCTCTGTATTCCTGTTCTCTGATTTCTGTTCCTTTAATGGCCTCTTGCACCTCATCCAGTCTGCTCTTAAGTCCTTCCAGAGATTCTTTTATTTCTGTATTCTCCTTCCCAACTTGATCTTTTAGCTCTTGCATATTTCCCTGCAGGCCCATCAGCATGGTTATGACCTTTATTTTGAATTCTTTTTCAAGAAGATTGGTTAAATATATCTCCCCAGGCCCCCTATCTGGGGTTGTCTGGGTGATTCTGGACTGGACCAAATTCTTCTGCCTTTTCATGGTGATAGAGGTAGTCGTAGGCAGGTAGTGCGTGTGTCAGCTGGGAGAACAAAGTCCCTTCCTGCTTGCTGGTTGCCCTGCCACTCTCCGCCGCTTGTGTAGGTTCCCCGCACACCGGGAGCAGCCCCTGGGGCAGCTCAGAGCCCTGTGGGGGGAGGCAGGTGCACCCGGTGTGCTCTCCTACGAGAACGGTGCCCCTTCCCACCCTGTCCCAGATTTCTCTGCCTGCGCTGGCTGCCCCGGGCCTGACCCTGGCGGCCGTGCGCTGGGAGGAGGCTCTGGGCGGCTCTTGTGGGTGTGGTCACTCCCAGGCTGCTCGGCCGGGGCTACTGTGGAAGGGGAATGAACATCAGGCTGTTTATTTCCATGAGGGGCTTCAGAGCTGTGTTTCTATCTGGGGGTTAGGGTGCCTGGAGTTCCCCAGAATTTCCATCTGCTAGGCTGAGTGTGCCGGGATGATTCTGTCCACCTGTGAGGCCCCTGTCCCTTTAAGACTTTCAAAAAGCACTCACTTTTTTTTTTGTCCCAGGAGAGCCAGCTGTGGGGAACTGCTTACAGATTTTACTTTTCTGTTTCCCTGATATCTAGCGCATCATGCACTGTGTGTCTGTGCTCCCGGTGTGGATTACTGGGGCTAGGTATTTAACAGTCCTGCACTTCCACTCCCTCCCTGCTCTTGACTCCTCTCCTCCCACCTGGGAGCTGGGGTGTGGGGGGGCACTCAGGTCCCACTGGGCTGCAGCTTGTATCTTACCCCCTTCGTGAGATGCCAAGTTCTCGCAGATGTAGATGTAGCCTGGCTGTTGTACTGTATCCTGTGGTCTCTCTGTTAGGCGTAGTTTTATTTGCTGTATTTTCAAAAATATATATGGTTTTAGGAGGAGATTTCCGCTGCTCTACTCATGCTGCCATCTTCCCAGAATCCCCCGAACCTTAACCTATTTTTATTCAGATAATTCTTTCAGTGGCATTTTTAATTGAATCAATTTTCTCAGTCACAATGTGCACATACCACAAAGACCTATCAGGAAATATATGTTGAGGTCACTTGTGATAGATTGTTGCAACTTCTTTATGACATTGTGAGGAATTTAAGAAGAAAGCTCAGGATGTGCAATCATGTAATCAATTCTGAGAATAAATCTCAAGTATAGTCCCTAGTGATTGTGCCCAGCTTTGGATTTGGAATCAGTAAGCATGAATGACTGAAAAGAAGAGTTTTAGAGATAAAAATAATGTCAAATTCACCTGTTCTTGTGTTGATTGCAGTGGAGTTCTTGTGCCAGGAGGCTTTGGAATCAGAGGAATGCAGGGAAAAATCCAGGCGATTTCTTGGGCAAGGACAAAGAAGATTCCTTTTCTGGGTAAAGCTTGTGTTCTTGGATCCTACCTATGAGTTTATTCAATTTTTCGTACCTAGTTGGGGTAACACTTAATAGGGCTTGTTAACATTGAAAGCTATGAACTCACATTTGAACATTCAGGCACCAAGGAGTCTGCTACAGGGTCAGCAGACTATGTCCTGCAGGCCATACTTGATTCGCACTCAGTTTTTATAAATAAGGTTTTATAGGAACAAGCTACATCAATTTGTTTACAGATTGTCTGTGTTTGCCTTTGTGGTACAATGGCTGAGTCTGAAGTCCTACAGCCAGAAAAGCCTAACATTTTTGCTATGTGCCCCTTTATAGAAAAAGGTTGTTGGTCTAGGAGAACGTAACTCCATTCTGGTTGGGTAGCAAGGGGCTGGGAGAAACTGCTGCCTACAGCTGCCCTTACTTTCTCCAATTTCCACCTGAATCTGTCATTTCACCACATCATGCAGAGAATTATTTAAAGGAATTCCACAACATTCTTTCTACTCAGAAAAACAAGAGTTGAAATTTATATTTCTAGAAAAGATAATACAGAGAGACCACCCAATGTCACAGAAAGAGCTGAGTTAAAATTGTTACAGCTGGATGTTCTGTTCAAATTGTAAAGCATGGCTTCTGGGCCAATGAAACAAGATGAAATGGACCCTTGATGGGATAAAGGCAGCCTAGCAGCTGGGGACTCAGGGGGGAAGCTCATGGGGAGAGGCTGTTTTTGACACTGTGCTTGGATGTGCTGCTGGGTTGATGAACCAAGCCCACAGGCTTCAGTGCTTTTCCTATCGGCAGACTGTTCATTTCCCCCACTGCCTCCTGTTCTTTCATTAGCTTCCTAGGTCCTACCCACGTGGGAGCCATTTTGAAAAGACAGGCCAGGGTTAGTTACCTTGAAAGCTTGCTTTGTTTTACCAGTCTAAGCTCATCTGGGCCTCTGTTTTCTTTTGAAGTAATCTTGTTTGGTTTCTGTCTAAATGTGGCAAGTGTTCAGATAGTTTTTACTGTATAGAACGTTGAAACTCTTTAGTTTTCTTTTTAACATAGTGTCTTGCCAATGGGTTTCAGCCCCAGGCAAGTTCGCTTTGGATTCAGTGTGACCAAAGGAATCGACAGCAAAACGTTCTTGGGGTGAAAGGGTTTATTACCTGGCTTGTTCTCCGGCGGTAGGTTAAGCACTAGCGTCTCTACCTCCGCCCAGAGCACTGGGCCGAGCTCACTATATAGCACAATAATAGCTTATTGCCTACAGGTGTGGAAGTGGCAGCGCAGCAACAGGCCAGTTACATCATCAGGTGGTTTAAGTTCAGTGAGGATCCTGGCCATAGGAACCCCAGCTTCCCCACACATAGCATCTCCTTATGTTCTAGCCATGCAGAACTTTCTCAAGTTCCCCCAAAGTGCTCAGCTTGTTGCTTGCCTATCAACTTTTGTTCTGGTGTGTCTGGTTGTGGATAAAATGAGAGTTTCTGTGGCCAGGATTCTCACCTGGCCCTGGTTGACTAGCTCACTGCACATCTGTGGGCAATATATGGCCGTTGACTATAAAAAGAGCTCCACCCAGTGCGCTGGGCGCAACACGGTGGCAGGGCTGCAAGGCTGCAGGAGAGCAGAGCAGAGGCTGGAGTGGTGGCAGCGCTGAGGACAGAGGCCCAGAGGACAGCTGTGTGGGACGACTGTGCAGAGAGGCCTGGAGGACAGCTGTGCGGGCAGAGAGGCCCAGAGGCAGAGACCGGCCTGCTGCATACAGACTCACTCTGAGTGAATGGAATTTTAGTGACTGATGTGCCACCTGGAATAAAGTTGGCTATAACCCTTTCACCCCGAGAATGTTTTGCTGTCATTTTCTTTGGTCACATTGAATCCATAGCGAACTTTCCTGGGGCTGAGACCCATTGACAAGACACTGGGGTATTGATTGCTCTCTCCTTTGAGTCTCTTGTATACCTTGGATATGTCTATAAAAGCATCTGGAATGCTCCTTGACATTTGTTTATTAGAATTGGTGGGCCACAGTGAATGTGGAGATGGGTGAAGCAGGCCTCTCTGTGGCAACAGGCCTGCAGTTTCACCAGAGTTTGTTGTGTTTATTAAGCTCTCTGTTCAGTTCCATTTTGTCTCTCCCTTCCCTGTGGTCCTCCATGCCCAGGCCTCAGGGGAGATGCCAACTCCCTAGCCGCTGCTGCTTTCCTGCATGTGTTACAGGGCTGTTCTGAGCCTAGATGCCTGCCGCAGACTGCCTGCTCCATGGCCCACCTGGGGACGCTTCTTAGGTCCCAGCTGGCTGGCCAGCCTCAGGCTGCTTTCAGGTGGAGCCTGTATCCAGGGCTTCCCCTCGGAGAAGAGGGAGGGTGAAGTCCCAGAGCAGGAAGACGCCCCCTTGAGGTGGGTGTTGGTAGATACTCTCGGAAGGAACGGGGCTCTGGCATAGCCCTGCAGCCCACACACATGCCTCGCTTTGGAGATGGGTTTGGAAGGAGGCAGATTTGCTGTTTGGACCTTGCCCTGTCCTCTTCTGTCCTTTACTGACCTCGCATTCCTTTTTCTTGTCTTGGTCTGGGTGGGTCAGGGTGAATCGATTGTCCAAACCCCTTCCTGCCTCTGCAGGACCCTTCTGAGTGCGGGGGCACAGCAGCCAACCCACAGTCAGGCTTGCCTTCTGGGAGCTAGCATTGCAGATGGAGAGAGAGACAGCAAACAGAGGGACAGAAAATATGAAGCAATACAAAATGTGATCGTTTGCTTTATATATGTGCTTTTTCAAATAGGAGTTTGCCTTGGGATGCAGCTTGCAATGATTGAATTTGCAAGAAACTGCCTTAACTTGAAAGGTAAGTCCAAGATTTGGTAATAATCTTTTATTTAACAAAATTCTCATTGCTTAAAATATTTTTTAGCAGTACTGGTGAATTGCTGAACTTGTTTCTTAATCTTCAGATGCTGATTCCATGGAATTCGAGCTGAATGCCGGTGTTCCTGTGGTAAATTGGCCTGTTTATCTTCCTGGGTTGGGTCATTGTCATTTTGTTTGCTGCTTTGGCCTAAACTTATAAGGGTTTCATTACCACAGAAGAAATCCCACACCTCTTAGCCGACACCCCTAAGCCTCCTTTTCCCCCTGCCCTAGGCAACTGTTAGTCTGATTTCAGTCTCAATGGATTCCGCCTATTCTGGACATTTCATATAAATGGACTCACACAATGTGTGGCCTTTTATGACTGGTTTCTTTCACTTAGCATGATGTTGTCACAGTCTGTCCATGCTGTAGCATCTATGAAGACTTTGTTTCTTTTTATTGCTGAGTAATATTCTGATATATGGACATATCACCTTTTATTAATCTATTTATCCACTGATGGACATTTGGGTGGTTTCTACTTTTTGGCTTTAATGAATAACGCTGCTGGGACCATTCATGTGCAAGTTGTTGTGTGGACATGTTTTCATTTCACTTGGAAGTGGAATTGTAGGTCATATGCTCATTGTATGTTTAACCTTTTGAGGAACTGTCAGACTGTTTTCAAAGTGGCTAAAACATTTTTCATTCCCACCGACAGTATATGAGGGTTCCAGTTTCTCCACATCCTCAGCACTCATTATTGTTATTGGTAAGCCATCTGTGTGGTTCAGAAGTTGTCTCTTATTGTGGCTTTGGTTTCCATTTCCCTGATGGCCAAGGATGTTGAGCATCTTTTCAGGTGCTTATAGGCCACTTATATATCATTTTTGCAGAAATGTTTATCCAGATCCTTTACCCATTTTTAAACTGGGTTATTTGTCTTTTTATTATTAAGTTGTAAGAGTTCTTAACATATTCTAGATACAAGTTCCTTATTAGATGTGTGATTTGCACTGCTGACATTTTGGGCCAGATGATTCTCTGCGGTGGGGGGCCGGCCTGTGTCCTGTAGGGCGTTCAGCCGCATCTTTGTCCTCTGCCCACTAGATGTCAGTGGCACCCTCCTCCTAACCCCTATTATGACACGAAAAATACCTCCAGGCATTGCCAAACATCCCCTGGGGCACAGGCTCTGGCACAGCCCACCTGGAGAATCCCTTATTTAGAGAAAGTCACTTCTGTTCCTCTCCCCTCCAGCCTATTCCCTTATTTCCTTTATGGCAGCCATTAATTCTCCTTTTTTTTTAATGGGATATCTTTCCATGTGAAAAATATAAGTAAACCTGCATGTCTGCTTGGAAGCCCTTCCCCTTCTTATGTAAATGGTAGCATACTCTGCACATTTTTTTCTGCCTTGCTCTTTTTCACTTAACATTCTATGCTGGCGATCATTCCATGGAAGGATATAGAGACAGTCTTCACTCTTTTTTATAGCTAGCAATTCAGACCATAATGAACCGTCACTACCCAGCCAGATGGTACTTTTAAGTCTTATGCTCAAAAGACCTAACACTAGTGAAGAGTTCCTCATGAGGCTGTAATATAAATGTACTTCCTGACGAATGGCGGAAATGGCTGTGAAGGCAAATCATGGGTTTTCTTTTCTAAGATAATACTGTACAGGCCACAGGCACGCTGCCCCCAAATGTGCCGCGTTGGTTCATGGACTGTTTTGAGCTGAAGGCAGTTGAGACCCTGTGGGCTCAAGAGCAGCTTTTGCCCCTCTCTTGCCTACGTAGGAAAATCGAAGTTGGAGTCTGTTGGGCAGGAAGAAATTTCCTCTCCCCCTCAAGGTTCTTCTAGCTGGTTTAAGAATCAAATGGACATGAGATAGATTAACAGAGGAAAAAACCAAAGTGTAACTGCGTACAGGGAATCCACAGATATGGGCTCCACAGGGAGAAGGAGGTGTACGTGCCATCCTAAACCTTGGGGAAGGGGGTAGGGGTCTGAGACTTCAAAGAAAACGGGAAGCAATTCAAAGGAATATGAAAAGAGTTCAGTATTTGATAATCAAATATTTCCTGGGCCACACAGGAAAATGAGGGAGCAGAGAGGAACTTTAACAGACTTAGCCACAGCCCTCCCAGCCTACCACACCTAGTTTACATTACAGTATAACTATGTATTATATGATAACTCTCCCTTCCTGGTCTACGGGCCTCTGTCTAAATTCTTTTTACATAAGTTTCTTTCAGAGGCTTTTGGGCCTTGATTGTTCTCAACTCTGAAATAATCTGCATGTCATAATGGTACAACTTGGTACAGGTCTTTCCCAAAATGAGGGTTATTACCAGAGATAAACTTTATGTGACTGATCTGTATGGCAGGGCAAACATCCAATTATTAAACATCTGCTCTTATTGTCCTGTGAATTGCCCTCCGCCCCTTTGAAGCCCCAGGGTCCCTATTTCATTTCTTAGCTCAGGATGGCGTCTAAGCCTCATTTTACCTTTCTGTCTGGGAATCTCTCATGTGTGTGGGCTCTGTACATATGAAATTAAATTCTATTTTCTCCTGTTAATCCATCTCACGTTAATTTGCTTCTTAGACTAGTGAGAAGAACCTTGAAGGGTAGAGGAAAAAATTCTTCCTCCGCAGCAGTACTCCGGGAGTGGAAGTGATTTTGATCTGTAGGTGCTACTGTTAGATGGCTTTGGCCAGGTTAATTCTTTGATGACTGCCCTTTGCTGGGGCATGTGCACCTACTCACACACATATACGGGCATGTTTCCTTTTTAACAAATAGGTGTGCTAGTGTGCTGGAGACACTGCTCCCCCTTACTTTTTGTACGGCTCACTCCACAGCAGTGCATAGGGATCTTCCACATGCTTGCTCTGCTCTATGCATCATGCTTTATTTAACCAGGCTCATATTGATGAATATTGAGGTTGGGTCCATTATTTTGCTACTTTAAATCATGCTGCAAATTAGTATCCATGCACATATGTCCTATACCATCTTCTATGGGACACATTCCTAGAAGGGGAATTACTAAATCTGAGGATATGTGCATTTTACATTTTGATAGCTTCTATACTCCTGAGATGAGAACAATAAAACCTAATTGCTGTTGAACATCTTTATGGCCTGCAATCAGATTGCTGGAGAAAAATAGCCTGAAGAGCCAGCATTTGTGATGATGGTGAAAAGTCTTATTAAAGAAAAAGACCAAGGTAATAGAACTACCAGGCAGCAAACACCAGGAAGTCTGGGGAATCATGAAAACTTGAGCAAACAACTAAAACTTGTAAGCACATTTACATTGGGTAAGTGTCATTCTGGTCCTTGTAACTAAAAAAGTAAAAAAGTTAGAAACCAGCAGCCTCTTTTGCTGCTAAAGTCTGTTTCATGGGGGTGTGGGAGGAAAAATAATTTTCTCTCCATGCTTCTATGTTTTTGGCTGACACCCCCTGTAATAAAACACAGATTAAGAGGAGAAAAACAGAAGTTTCCTAACATATGTACCTCCTGTATACATGGCAGACCCAGGCAAACTGAGGAACTCCCTGAAGTGGCCCAAGCCACCAGCTTAAGTACAGTCTTCAGCCAAAGACNAGAAAAAGCATAGTAAACAAGGTTATGGTTGTTATGCAGATTTAAGTCTGTCTTATGCATTGATAAGAGTGTCTAGACTTGGTTGTCCTCTTCCTGGTACTGAGAGGGAGATGCCCTTACAAATGGAGATTTTCCTTATACATGTAAATGTCTCTTACAAAAGGGTAACTTTTACTGAGTTTTAAGAGCTTTTTGCATGCCTGCTGTTGCTTAGGAAAAAAAATCAGCCTAGAATAATCTTTATATCAGAGGCGTATTTTGGGATGGCAAATTCTGCTCCCCTTGTGGGCCATCATGACCCTCCTTTGGCATGCATGATGGTCTTATGTTTACTTATGAAATCAGTAGAGACACTGGCATCTAGGGCAGATTTCTAAAAGGCGGTGTTTCCTATACACATAAAAGGAGAGAGATTTTTCCCTAAGAGTGAAGGTAGTAGACTCTGAGTCTGAGAGTGTCAGGAGTAAAATTTGTTTTATTGTCATTTCTCTGCTTAAGCCACAAGGTGAAATAGAAAGCTCTGGGATTTTGCAGAATATTTAGGATTCTACAGCAAGTCTGATTTTTTTGGGCCTACTTCAAAGTAGCTTTACCTGACTTGCAGATGATGCTTACCAAGAACACAGCTGTGGCCGACTTGCATTCTGACTCTAGATCAATCACATGGCTGCTGCTGACAACCTTGACCTTGAATTTGACTTCAGATCTCTCCAGTTCATGTAGGGGGTGGTTTGTGGCATCATGGATATTATATTTAGAACATCTTTTACTTTTGAGACATACATAGGAAGAATGATCTTAATCCAATGTTTAAGTACAAGGATATGCTTAGTTTTTAGCATTCCTTTTCTATTTATTGAAAATAGTTCTGAATAAGGTATAACATCCTGGAAACAGAATTCATATTCTACCATTAACCACATCAACATACACATGCACACTTGGATGATGGTATTGTTGGGAAATGCATTCTGTACAGGTCTCCCCACACACTGGGTGAGAACTCAACATAGGAGAGGGCTCTTGACTCTGATGGAGAAAGAATTCATGAGGGGGTTGAGCAGTGTGGGAAAAATGGAAGTTCCTATGGCCAGGATTCTCACCTGACCCTAAACTACTTGATGGAATTGGCTTCCTGCTAGGCTAACACTTCCACACCCATAGGCAATAAGCTATGACTGGCTGAGTCACTATATAAAGAGCTCTACCCAGTGCTCTGGGTGGAGGTGGAGATGGAGGTGGATTATGGACCTGAGGACTGCTGGGTGCAGACATGATTCTAGTGCTTGACCAATTGCCGGGAGAGTAAAGCAGGGTATAAAAGCCCTTTTACCCCAAGAACGTTCTGTTGTTGTTTCTCGGTTTCACTGAATCCATAGTGAACCTGCCCGGGGCTGAAACCCTCAGGCAAGACAAGCAGGTACAAGCGAACAGTAGTTTAACAACGCAAAGGTGCACATTCAAGGAGGGAGTGTGGGTGAAAGGAAAGGAGCAACACATAGCAGCAATTCACCGGAGAGTTC